TTCATCAGTCTATAAGAAGTATGGAAGAATGTTTTCTTCAGCCTTTCAAATCGACATTTGTGCAAGGCTTGAAAAAGTCTGTCATAATCAAAGTCCCGAAGTCCCTGGATAAACTGAGAGTCCTGTGTACATCTCTAATTTTATTTTTGGAGAAACCTATAACCCTTCCAACATTTCGGACAGCGGAATGCGGATTTTCGCGAATATACAAGAAAATATTCAGCTCCTCGTCGAAATTACGTAACCGGTTTCTTGGTGAAGGAACAGCAACTGATCTGTATCTCCTCATAATGAGAACAACACGAAATTAACCTTTTGTGGTTTATTCTGGGGCGAACAGAAAATTTCTGGGAGTACAATTCGACAGAACGACGCGCTATACCACTGTCCATAAAGCAGTCGTACGTATCAACTATAGATCGGGAAAATGTGCTCTTCCGAATTTGAATGAATTTTGAATTGAATATTGAATGTAATGAATAGGTACTATTTTAAAATTTATTTACTTCCAAGAATTAAATTATCCTCTCATAATGCGAGTTTGATAAACAATGACAAAGTATAAACAATAAAGGCAATTAATGTTTAATGAAGAAGCAAATTATTGGAATTAACAATGAAACAAAAAGAGATGCGTTTTTTCAAACTTTTTGCAATAAATTTTTCATTTTTTGACCGATTTAACATTGCATTGCACCCCTGTTTTCAGCGTAAAGTATCCTTTAAAATGATGTGTCAGTATGTATAGGGTCGTATTTGAAATTTTGTAGTTGAACTAGCCCTAAGGTTTTTTTAATTTTTTTATTGGCCTTATGATCTTGCATATTAGCCATGGTCCGAATTCTTGTGTGTTCAAGTTCAAATTGGGGGTTATCGGGAAAAAAGGGCCAGAGGCGACGGTGGGCATCGAACCCACGACCGCGGCGTGAGAGTCTCTCATGCTAATCACTCGGCTACCGCGGTCCCCCAGCTACCGCGGTCCCCCAGCATATATAGGTCGGTTCGTATATAATTTTTCTACAAAAAAAAGGTAAAAATTTTAAATTAGACAAAAAATATTAAACACGTTTTTCTTTTTTTTTAACCATCTAAAAAGGACACCCTGATATTTTCGTCAACCAACTGATAAGATCCCGCTTTTAAAAAGTTTCACACCAAGCTCTCGATCCATCCTCACCCTATTGTCGGGCTTTATCTACACTTTCCCACCCCTAGCATCCGCCACGAAGCCTGAAAGAACGAGAGACCTCCTCTAATGGTATTTTACCCATATGGCGATAATATTTATTGTTTTTAAACACAGCTTGTTGTTGCATAGCGGTGGGACGTAGTGGGTTCAATACTCTGTTTAGGAGGTTGATGATATCAGGGTACAATAAATAGACTTTCATTGTTCCATGAGTTCCTTAAAGGATATCTCATCCAGACCAAAAGATAAAGTGGACTAATGTTTTAGTAGTGGTGTATTCAGAATCAAATGTGATTGAAATACCATTTACCTAGGTCAAACGGAAAGAACACTTCGAAGAAGGAAAAAAGAACACCTTCCCAATCGGAATCTAAAGACTACATTGTCAAGAACCACAATTTTAAGCCTGAGGATAACACGGAATTACTGCATGTATTAAAAATAGGAAAAAGGTGAAAACTGGTTTGAAAAGATAGAGATCTTAAAAGCGAAACAGGATAAAAATTTAAGAATCTAATGACAGATTTCAATTCCAGTCCAGCAATGACGTTAGCGATCAATTATGCCTCTAACGAACAGAAACAACTCATCGCGGATATATCAGTCATTTAGACACTGTTGAAAGATGTATAAATTTAAGTTTTAAAAAGAAGTACAATATAAAAGTGCTGTGATGTCTGTATTTTAAAGATTATATATACAACAGTATTTGGGAGAAGGTATTTACTGTTTTTGTACAAGAATTATTTAAAACTGACAGAAATGTTGATTGTAGGACCTAATAATGACCCAGTGGGTTGAAACCGGTCGTTGGTCGTTGAAATCAAATGGACTTGAAAGTCTACTTATTATGGTCTGATATCATCAACCTTCTTAGCAGTACACTAGTTTTCGTGGTCCGCTTGACCAAAGGCTATAACCGACCAATAAAAACAATAAAAAAACACTATAACCGACCAATAAAAAGAATAAAAAAAACAAGCTGCAATACTGCTTAGAAGATTAATTAATCTGCATTTAAGGTATTGGTTGAAATAAAAAAGTCAGTGTCACAAGCGGGATTCGAACCCACGACCTTTGGCTAAATACGCCGCTGCTTTACCACTTGAGCTAACGTGACTTCGATCCACTCGGACACCAATTCTCCATCTCAACCTCACCTTTTGAATTTTCCCTCCTTTTTGCCATTTTTCAATTTTTTTTATTTCAACCAATACCTTAAATACAGAGTAATTAATTGAAAGATGTTATTTGGTCAAGCGGACTATAAAAACTAGTGAATTTAATAAGTTAAATGACACTGAGTTTTTATCTCAACCAATACCTTAAATTCAGATTAATTAATCTTCTAAGCAGTATTGCAGCTTGTTTTTTTTATTGTTTTTATTATACCTTCTTTAACACCTGCTGCATTTTTGAAACCAAAATACAATCATCCACTATTTCTTTATCTCCCATGTTTTTATTGACAACTTTTACATTATTGCAAAAGAAAAAATTTTTTCTAATGATATTTTTGACCAAATTATTTGGATAATTGTTTATGTATGATAAGTTACATACCTTATCATAAAAGGCTGACCACTGATTATATGAAAAAACAACTTTAAGAAAAAATGGATCTACAATTCATGTACAAATAGATGACTGTGAAAAAGTAGAAATATAATCTTCCAAATTTAATGGATTTCGTGCCAAAAGATAATACATTGACAGGCAAAAAATTCCACCCACTTATAATATAATAAAATTGGTTTTCATTTTGTTTTAGATTTTCAATGAACATTTCGATATAGTGTATTTCTTTCTCTTGCCTTAATTACATCTCAAAGATGCCTCGGGATAATTTCTAAAAGTCTGGAAATGTCTCTTTGCTGGAGGTTAGCCCATTCTTCACGAAGAGTGCTTTCAGGATCGAGGAGTGTATCAGGTAGTGATGGACGTGTTCTTATTCGTTTTTTGAGGTTATCCCATAAATGCTGGATGGGGTTCAAGTCTGAAGAACGGGCTGGCCAGGCTAAGACCCTGACGTTATGCTGTTGAAGGTACGTTTGTACTATGCGAGCGACATGTGGACGGGCATTATCGTGCATTAGAATACGATCGTCTTTGATTTCATCGAGGATAGGTAATGCATGATGTTCCAAAATTTCATCCACATAGCGAGTGGCCATCAAAGACCGTCCACGATCAACAACCAACTCTGTGCCATTCTACATTGTAAGTCCCGCCCACACCATCATTTGGTGCTACTTTGAAAACGTTGGATCTGGGAAAAATTACAGGCTTCATGTCTTTACGTCCCATCTGGAAATTGTAGAGCAAGTCTACACTCATCTGTAAAAAGTATAGCAGACAATCATCTAAAGACCAATGACTATGTTCTCGAGCAAATGCGAGCCTTGCAACGCATTGTGTTCTGGTCAATTCTAGTCCTCTTATCGGGCTTTTAAGCGATCAGTCCATACTGATTTAATCTTCTTCGAGCATTGCGTTCAAAAATTTGGACGCCTTGAACTTCTTAGAACTGTTGAATCGCTTTAACCACAGTAAGGTGCCGGTTTCACAAAATTCTCAAAGTCACAAAACTGTCATCCTGTGGTTCTGTTAATCTAGGGCGTCCAGAAGTAAGTAATGGCTTCGTACCTTTCATTTCATCTTCCCCACAGTCTTATGTGCCCATCTGGGGATCGTAGAGCAAATCTATTCAAAGTCCAATGGCCGTGTTCTCGAGCAAATGGGATCCGTGGAACTCTGTGTGTTCTGGTCGTCTTATGTAGTAAAAAGCCATCGGTCCTTACTGATTTAATCATCCTCCAGCAGTGCATTCAGAAATTGGACACCTCGAACTTTCTGGAGAAGATGAATCGCTTGAACAAAATACAACAGTAAGGTGCCGGTTTCGCAAAATTTCCCAAGTCAAAAAACGGTCATCATGTGGTTCTGTTACCCCAGGGCGACAAGGGCCTTCTATGGTATGACCCAGCTTCTCGAAAACGTCTAACGGCGTCTCGCAGAGTTTCGTAGGGATCTCCGATGGCCATAGCCACATACCTGATGGAACGACCATCGTCAATAAGTGCCACACCACGCGCAACGTCCTCAGCTTTTTAAGTTTAAAAATTGAAATTAAGAAAGCAAAGATGAAAACTGAACAGTTTCTTGCTTCAGAATTCAAATGAAACTGAATAAAATTTTTAAATTCCGTAAAAAGGAAACATTGAAAAAACCCATATCCTTGTTTTGGATTAAGGATTAAGTGTGTTTACCTCTAATTGATATTCCCAATTTGAAAAATAGGATAAACAAATGTTTATTGGAAAAAACCATGAGAGAAATTAATGACAGAATTTTCTTTCATCGAGAAAATGAAAAAAAAAATCAATTGGATGGAATTTTTTGCCGGTCAGTGTATAACTAACATTCTGTGCTTGTATAAAAAAAATTTTAAATGGTAAAACCAATTTTTCAAGTTCATGCAATTCTGTTATAGCGTTTTAATTGCTAATTACGAGAAAATATTAACTACTGGTATCGATTAGCCATGTAAATTGGGAGAAAAATCCTGGGAATTGAATAAGGCTATATTTTCTAAACGGACAGTTTGAACGAATCATGCATTAGTTAATAAATATAGATGATGCTGAATGTCAGTTCGAGGTAGGAAAATTTTCCAGGAGTGTAAGATTATCGGTAAAACTGGTCTAGCATGCACAACTCGCGCCGTCCTGCTATTCGTTACTGGTTTTGTTAAACAGTTAAAGGATCGGCCGTCAAGGAAAGTTAGAGGGAGTAATAAGAGTTTATATACTTTATGCTCTTCTTCAACATTTCCTTGTCCTCGGGAGAGCCAGTCGTCGGGCCTTCCCTGCAAAGCGATAAGCCAATTTTTCTCTCAGTTTAACACGCCTTTTAAAAATTATTTTAAATAATAACATCGATGGAGCAAAAAATACATAAAAAAACATTAATTCTGGTTTGAGATTTTAAGCTACGTCCTTCAACCAAAGCTGAACGAAGTCAGAAACTAGACTGAAATTTTTATGATTACTCTTATTAAAAAAGCTATTAATATTCAGAAATCGTGAGATGTGGTCTGGTGTGATTAGGTTTCAGAAAAACATTTTTTTTATCGTGCCGACGTTTCGATCTTTATTGCCATCTTCAGGGCTCAAAGTGTTTGTCTTCTGTGTAGATGTGTCATTATTGGACACTCTCATCACGACACGCAAGAATGGCACAATTACACAGAAGACAAACAATTTGAGCCCTGAAGATGATCTCAATAAAGATCGAAACGTTGGCACGATAAAGAAAATGTTTTTCTGAAACCTACATCACACCAGACCGCCGTGGTCCGCTTGACCAATTAATATATTACAATTCTTACCTCAACTAAAAACCTTAATTAATTGAAAGCTATTAACGTTAAATTACATAGAAAGTTGAATGTTTATAGTTTTTCCTTACCAAATCACTGCTTCCTGCCGTGAAACTTACAAAATTATCAATCCGCAACGTTTAAATTGCTAGAATTTCGAAACGTTTTCCTGTCCTACTCTTTAAATATGTTCTATACTTTTATAATAATGAAAAAAACATGAGAATGAAATGAAACTAGAATAATCTTTGAAAAATATCAAGTTGCGAAATAGTTGTTCTCGTTAAACTGGAAAGTAATATTTGTAGGGATGTAGGTTCCAATCGAGGGCACTGGGTTGACACCCCTGCTGAATAAAAAGGAGCGTTTGGTAATATATTCTATTCAAATTGTACAATCGTATTGTCCCTAAGAGTCGGAGCTGTTCGATCGAATCTGGCCAGGATATTCTCGCTCGTTTGATCATTTTCTATCCCGCAGATTAGATCAATAGGGACGGGTAACTCATGAGAAATCACCCCATTCATCATCTCAGAGGAATCGCGGTTGTAATTTGAGTAGTTTGCAAGTACAGGGGTTTTTCAGGTGTTAAGAAAAGGTCAAGATAAAACAAAAACTCATAACCGAGGAATACGATAAATTGACAAATTCAATTAGCATCATTAATGACAAAGAACACTACTAAATATACGTCGAGAAGCTATCCAGCACCCTTCTAACCCAGACACCCCACCGGACGTTCAATTCGAACTGAATACATAGTTCAATTAATTAAGGTTTTTAAGTTGAGATAAAAAAGTCAGAGTCACGAGCGGGATTCGAACCCACGACCTTCGGCTTGATACACCGCTACTCTACCGATTGAGCTATCGTGACTTCGATCCCGTCGGGCACTAACTTCCCATCTCAACCCTTGAATTTTCCCTCCTTTTTGCCATTGAATACATAGTGATGGAATGACTAGTAAGTCCGCTCATCTGCCATGGCCGAAAAACTAAAAGCAGTGAAAGCAATAGTGACACCCTTGCTCCCAGGATATGACCATAGTCGCCTGACACCCGGCTTCCTCCTTAGCGGAAACAGACGCAGGAAATGCACCTTATGTGGGGCAGTAGCAACAGCGAAGCATATTTGGAAAGTGGACCTACCTCACGATATGACGTTCTGATAGAGCACAGTGACTGTAGAGATATTGCATATTTAAGATCGATAAGTACGTATGGCCTCATATAACCTACCACACACATACCATTTGTTGACGTAGGCGTGTGTGTGGTTGTGATAAAAATCGTGTAACTTACAATCTAGATGTGAGAGGAGTCTACGGCACTTCGGCTAGAATTGTTGAGGCAAAGTAAATACATTTATTATCGTGAGTTTCAAAACAAAGTAAAAATCCTGGGGATCTTCTATGGTAAACAGATGGCTCAAAAATGCAAAAAGTTCTAGAATGAACGACAAGTGGCGTACTATGAGCACCACATAGCTTTCGACCTTACAAGAACAATTTTTCAAACCGAATTGTCAGTCAGAGAATCATGTGTTCTTGGAAAAATAACAAACACCTCAAGAGTGCAATACTACCATAATACAAAAATACTACAGTCAGGCAGCTCTTAAGTTCTCTTAAGTACGAGATCAACTCAAATCTAGTTTGAAATGGTAAGATTTCTTCCTGTGGTCTGGGGAGTTAATTGTAATAGGGTTACTGATAATTTCAGCCTATCCTTCAATAGGTTGTGCGTCAAACACGCTTTGGTATATCGCCATTTTTTTGTCTATGTGTTCAGTTAAAACTAGACTCTTATAAGGTCTTGAGAACAAAATTATCGCAAACGACCCAATTTACTTAATCTGGAACTGCCTCAATATCCTAAAAAATTGGGATCTACGAATAGTCGAAGGCTGAGGTGGCTCTCAGATCAAGAGGTCTAGGTAACAGGCATAATGCCTAAAAAGCGAGCCTCTAAAGGTCTCCACGTCTCCATGAAAAAGAGCGAGTCCGTACATTTGATCTCAACAACATAACATCTGATCCGAAAAATCCTACTAAATCCAGAGTATCAGATCTCTCTATCAGCCGGCTCTCGCCTGTAATTGCCTATGAAAAAAGGCATTAAGTGCAAAAGTAGGAAATCCGAACGAATCCAAGTAAAAATGAAAGAGCTCTACTTTTTTACATACTACTTGATTCTAAAATCCTACTAAGCAGACAGAAGGTCGTCCACCAGCAGGCTATCGCACAGATGTAGGTGCATCCCAAGGAAGCATCTTAGGATCCCTCCTCCACACAGTATACACCGAAGATATTACAACTTTTTTCGGATGACAATGCGATTCCTTTGTTGTTACAAAAATCCATCCTAACCACAAACGGCAAACCTGTCCCATTGCTTTATCAATTGATCAAGCGGTGGAAAAAATGGGACTGTGTTTTTTTTATAAATTTTTTTTTTGTAGTGGCCTTATGAACATAGCATAATATCCAATAAAGAGCAAAGGCTAAGGTGGGAATGGAACCCACGACTGCGGGGTCCACCAGCCGAGCGACCATCACATTAACCACTAGGTCACCGCGGTCCCAAATAGAACTGTTAACAGATAATCAATATAGACTATGTCTACAGCAGACTTAGTCAACAAAGCATAGCCTGCAATAGCAAGGAAGAGGATATAGTATTTAGGAAAGCCATTTTACAATATAGATCTTGATACCTCTGAGGAAAATTCTAGAATTGTGTACTTTATTAAAAAAACGAATATTTTACAGAAAACCCTTTAGCAGTAATCGGAAACAATAGGCTAATAATTAAGTGCAAAATGAGAAAATCCCTACGACTTCAAGCAAAAAAGTAGGAGTCTTACCTTTTACGTACTGATTCTAAAATCGTACTGAACCGACAGACGACAGTGAGTCCTCTATCAGCTGGTTATTGCTCAGATGCAGGGGTACCCAAAAGAAGTATCTTAGGACACATTCTCTACACATGCTCACCTTCGTGAATGTCACCTCTGTACTTTTGCTCTCATATCCTCAGATCCTGTCATCCTAAACAGAAACCCATACCGTCAATGACCATTCATGAAGCGGCGGACGAAAAAGGACTGTTAACATATTACGAATTTCGTCTAGAGGAGAGAAACGTAACAGAGCTTATCCTACAACTGACTTCCAATAATTAGGAAAAATCTATGGTACTAGGAATGACATTCTTGAGCACGATACACCTCGATACCACTGAGAAGAATCACAGAATTCTGCTCTTCAACAAACTACTCGCAAATACTTCCAGGACAGCCATTAAGAGAGATAGGACACAACAACGAAAGTTTAAGAGCAAAAGGAGAAATCTCTACTACTCCAAGAAGTACCTGCACCTAAATTTCCTACTAAACCAAGTTATTTTCAAATCGTCAGTGGCCACTCTAACATTCGCACCGTTGTGGATGACAACGCTAGTACTTTGTCTCATAAAGGACACGTACTCTCAACCAGAACCTTCAAACCTTGGAAAAATGGGACTCCTAACAGATGACGTACGTCGACTATTTGCAGTGAAGACAGAGAAAACTTAATATATCCTACAGAAGCTAGGAAAAGGATACGGTCCCGAGGGAAGTTATTCTTGTGCAACATTGGCTTGCCTTGGTAGACCTTGGTACCCCTGAGAAGATTTTGTTCTTTATGAAAAATAAAGTAACAATGTTCTAAGAAAACCGTTGGCATAGATTGGACACTATAGCGGAAAGTGTGTTAATCGTATCCTTACGAGCCCAAATTTAAAAAAAAAAAATTATGCAGTTATACAGCCTGATAAAATCAATGATTTTTAATGAAACCATGGTGATTTTTTGACACGCAATTAATATATTCAGTCACCTTTTACAACCAAGGACAATTTAGGGCATTAGCATACCCGATAAAGTTTAACTTTGAGCACTGTGTTTAATTATCAACGAACAATGTGTAATATCGTCAGCAGTTTCATCTATTTCAGATTCTTAGAATTGCTGAATAGTCGAGTTAGAGATAAAGCATTTGTCAACACGGATCAGACTGCATTAACTCGCAGACCGAGTATATTTCACTTGGAAAACGTCTATTATCGGTTGTTTTCAAATTTCATAATTAAACGTCAAAAATTGATTCTTCTTGTAACAAAATCTATAGATTCTGGAAGGTCAAATCAGAATTGATTAATCAAACCGGAATTTGCATCGGCCGAGCGGTGAAAGAGAAAAGGGCGTTTATTATAGTGATTATATTCACTATTTTTCTTGGTCCACTTGACCAATTAATATCATTCAATTAATTAAGGTTTTTAGTTGAGATAAAAAAGTCAGTGTCACGAGCGGGATTCGAACCCACGATCTTCGGCTAGATACGCCGCTGCTCTACCCCTTGATATATCGTGACCTCGATCCACTCGGACACTAACTTCCCACCTCAACCACACCTTTTGAATTTTCCAATCTCAACCCAACATTTAATAAGTTAAAATGAAGTATATCTTCACTAAAGCTCTCCGTGGCCATTTCATTTGTTGCCGAGAATCAAATAGATTACACGACGTTTGAAAAATGGCAAAAAGGAGGGAAAATTCAAAAGGTGGGGTTGAGATGGGAAGTTGGTGCCCGAGAGGAAGTCACGGTAGCTCAAATGCGAGTAGCGGCGTATCAAGCCGAAGGTCGTGGGTTCGAATCCCGCTCGTGACACTGACGTTTTATCGCAATTAAAAACCTTAATTATAGTGAATATATTTTATTATTCAATCCTTCGTTTTCGAATACTTTTTTAAAGCGTTGTAACCAAATTTGTTCTTCGCCCTTTGACACAAGTGTATTGAAAACATAATGAAATTAGACGATTCTTTATATTTCATCATATCCAATCAGGTCCAGTTTTCCAGTTGGGCTTGTACCCTAGTCTGAACGAGCAACCATGGAATTGAAAGTGGAAGTGGCATTGCCCTGGTTGATCTGTGAATCGATGAATAGCGATAATAATCATCTGCGATCCTGTTGTTCTTGCTATCAACCGAGGATCATTAAAGCGATTCGCGGATTTTTTTTTCAAAGCCTCAGTTTTTGGAAGAAGGAGTAGCATTTGTTAAAACGATTTTAAAAAAGTAGCTTCTATGACTGACCGGATTTCTTTGTCTGTGAGAGACTTGTTGCCGCTGTCGCTGTCGACTTCCGATTCGTTGCCGCCAACGTCGAAGATCCTGGCGTAGAGCTCCTTGTTCTTCGAGTCGAGGAGGAAGAGAGAAGCGCGGTCTGCGTCTACGAGACGCTGGGCGAAATTCATGATCTTGGTCACCAGCGTGTCCATCGAGACCATATCCTGGAAAATTGACCTGGAACAAAAAATAAAAAAATCGTAATTGTGGAAAAATACACGCCTTGATTAACACTGGAGAGGTTATTTAAATAAAGTTTATGTGTCGAGTTAAATTACAACGAGAAAGGAATTAGGGACTACGGACGGAGCCGTGTTAAATACACGGCAGCAACCGTTTTCATATCCTTGACACTTTCATTCTACTGCTTTGTTAAGACCGTTATTATGTTTATTTTAGAACAAAGTCGTAGAGAGCAATCTTTGCCAAAAAGCTGACTTATTTCTGAAGACAAACTTGCTTCAAAAAGAGTACACTATCAAACTCCATCAGGTCGGAAATTCCGTACACAGCAAATATACCAACCAATTAAACTTAAAACATGGCTTCACTGTTAATTCCATAATTAATTAATTAATTAAAAGGTTAGCGAAATAGACGTTGCCTTCATACATCTCTAGGTCGGCCCAGGGTCGAAGGATAGTGCGACAACAGTTCAACAGTTGCAATGCTAGTGCCACTTATATTTTCTTAAACTTTTAAATTATTAATTAGTAAGTATTAAGATCGAAAGTGCAAACTGGCTCATAGAACAATATAAACCAAAGCGAAAGGAAAGCCACCTGAAAAATAAATCAGTTGGCTGTAACACAGCCTAATAGAATGAAAATTTGAAAATGAAAATCTTTCCCAATAAAAATAAAAACAAGAGACATTCTTAAGAATAAAAACACTAAAAATAATAGAAGGGCCTTGTTATGGTAGTTCAAATATGGACATGGAGTGGAGGCAGGGGTTAAAAGGCCTACATTTTGATCTAGCGAAAGTTCTAAGCCCCGTAACATAAATTTTCCTAGCTGAGATCCATACAATAACATTCTGTGCACGAGAAATACTCAAAAATGGACTTAAAAGTGTATATTTGTATATCAGAGAGATAAGCATGACTGGAGACTGTTGAATCTTACACCGTTAACTCAAGGTGCTCTGGGACTAACTTAACTCAAACTACTAGGAAAATAAAATAAAGTTGATTTGGCTGCCGGGATACGAAGAGAACAAACTGACAAAGTAGGACAATCGGATGGAGAAAATGATGATGATACCAGAGTACAACAAACAAAGAAATTACTTAAAATCATGAGTCAGTGAAATTAATTATTTAAATAAGCGATTTAAAATTTGAAATAGTAGCGTAGAGAAAGTCAAAAAAGACGTTTTAAATTATTCCAGAAGAGATAGTCAATATCATCAGCTTTAGCAATTAGCAGAGCGTTGCCTCCGTCCGCGCCTCGTCCTGTGATACTCGACGGCACGTTTAAAGTGCGTGAACGACCTGATTAGAAATTTCTAATAGGGAATAATTTCGGCGGATCGCTCATGAGAAGACATTCGGTTCGCGGATCGAATTGCAAAACGATGGCAATCGGCCATTTAACGGATGTCAACTACGTGCCGTCCACGTCAAGCAAAATCATCTTCAAAGTCGTTGTTCGATTCTGCCCAGCGTGCTGTAATAAAGTTTCCTAGAGAAACGTACAACTTTTTCATCCGTGAAAGACGGGCCAGTCGAAGCCCAAGGGGATCAAAAGTACAAACAGATAATCCACAAAGACCCACAATAATAGTTTTATTTGTTCAAATTTTCATATTTTTTTAGTTTTAGGGCCAGCAAACTACATTGGTCATTGCCAGCTCTCTTCCTTAGCTTCACATTTATTTTCTTACCTTTGTCGCGTTTTATTCCTAGTAATTTCTTTTTATGTTTCTCCAGCTAAGACTATATTTTATAGTGCAACGGTAACCGACTCTCTCTTTTCTTTGTCCTATTGCTAGCCTCTCTATACCTCACGGCCTCCTCAATTGTGGATACGATAAGACAAATAATAAACACAAATGCACAAAAAAAAGATAAAAAGATGAAAGTCTGGTTAGCATTCACACTACCGTAGAGTATTCCATATTCCACACAATAATTAAGGATATGCCCTTTCATTCACGCTAATAAATTACATTCGCATATTCATTCACTCCCAGAGTACTCGAATCCTACGAGGTAATTGGGGATAAACGACCATTCATGCTAATAAATTACATTCGCTCATTCATTCTTTCTACCCAAAATACTCGATATTCCTCGAGGTATTTGGCGATAAGCCCCTTCATTCACACTAATAAATTACATTCCACATTCATTCACTAAACCCCCAGAGTATTCGAATTCCTCGGGGTAATTTCGGGTAAACCTCTCCATTCGCGCTAATAAATTATATTCGCACATTCATTCACTAAACCGTCAGAGTACTCGAATTCCTCGGGGTAATTAATAACATTCACGCAAATAAATACTTTCATTTCAATAAATAACATATGCCACATATGTATTTCTTTCTTTGCTGGCTTAGTTGTCAGTCTGTCTAAACAACGAAACCTTACGTGGTCTCACCCCCATTACAAGGTGTCCGTGATCATGATATGACCTATGCTTTTATAATTCTAAGAAGCACTAAATATCAAACATTCTGGTCACATTCATTCTTAACATTTTATCAGTCATGGACCAATGAACAGCATGAAGTAACTGTATCTGTAAAATTGCAAACTGGCTGACTTTCCTGACATGACCACGGGAATAAATATTGAATAAGAATATCACGAGAAAAAAAAATCAGTTTTGAACTTGAAAACAATTTTCTCTAGAAATGAATCAAGCAGTTCATTGATTATAATTATACTGAAGTTTTTCTAAAATATCCTGTAGAGAACCTTGAAAATTAACCATACCCAGGATGTTGAAAAAAGAATACCGAAAAGAATTCTCACCTAATATAAGCGTTAACTATCCAATGGACCAGCTTTTAAATAAAACAGAATTTCAACCAACTACAAAAATTATGAACTAGTACTTGTCCGGAAGACCGTTATTATTGTGAAATGGGCGCATTTCTTCAGTTCCACGGCGTTTACGAATAAAATGGAAAGTCTTTTTTATGCAAATGCCGCTGGCCTCAGAAGGCCATCGGCCTTATATAAGAAATTTTTAAACCCACTCCTCACTTCTATTCCACTTTCGTATTCTGACAGGAAGCTCGGAAACTGAGTCAAGTCCATGGACAACTGCCGTTTATGTATAAGCGGCATTTTAAAAAGCCGCCTTATCTGCGAGGTGATCAACCTTAGTTATGTATGATTATTCAGCGATCGTGAGATGCGGTCTGGTGTGACGTAGGTTTTAGAATAGTATTTTCTTTATCGTGCCAACGTTTCGATCTTTATTGTGTTCATCTTCAGGGCTCAAAGTGTTGTTTTCTGTGTAGATGTGTCATTATTGGGCACTGTCAACACGATACACAGAATGGCAGAAATACGCAGAAAACAAACACTTTGAGCCCTGATAGGGATAGGGATAAGAGAGGAGGCCACAAGGCCTATTGCACCTCGACCTAAAAAGATCTATTGTGCTTCACTGTTATTATAACTCAGAGGCCAGTTCCAGGCTAATAACCAGCCTCCACGGCTTTGCCAGTGGTTCCTTAGTGTAGGATCTTGGTTGTGGTTTTTCTTGTCCTAGTTGCAAGAACCTCCACCTACACAAACCTTCGCAGAAACATAAAATGTGTTCTGTGGTCTCCTCCTCTTCCTGGCAATATCTTCACAGTGTTTCTTCTGTTTGTAATCCTATCTGGTGCATGTGCTTTCTTAAATGGCAGTGCCCTGTCAGGAGTTCAACCAGAATCCTGGTTTGGTTGCGGTTGCCTTCCAGTAATTATTTTGTAAGTTTGCTGATGGTCCTTCTGATGTATGCTACATCCTGTAGTATTGTTCCACCAGGTTTTGGATTCGTTAAGGATCCATTTTAAGATGTATCCTATTTTGTGGCAAGCTGCTAGGCCGCAATAGGGTTCTGGGCCCATATAGTCCATGTTGGCTCCCTTTTTGGCCAACGTGTCAACCTTTTCGTTGCCTCTATGCCCCGAATGTCCAGGGTCAGGTCATTAGTGTCGCTGACTCCCATCAGGGCCTCCATGCATTTCCAAACTCTCTTTGTCTTCGTTGAGCCCTGAAGATGATCTCAATAAAGATCGAAACGTTGGCACGATAAAGAAAATGTTTTTGCAAAACCTACGTCACACCAGACCGCATCTCACGATCTCTGAATAATCATCGACTAATCACAACACATTTCTACTTAGTTATGTAGTTTCCGATCTCCAGTTCTGCTATCCTCGGCGATTTATGCCCTGAAGTTTTATTATTTATTTTATATTCATTACTTATTATTGTTATTGTAATTAAAATTAATTAGTTTATATGGTAAGTTTTGTTTGTTGACATTTATGGATTTAAATTTATGAATATTGCCGGTGACATTATTATGGTAAATATAGGTTAAAAGGGTGTATTTAAATTTATGGATACCAAAACGAAAATGAGTTCACAATGTAGCAATACGTAGGTTAAATTGTTGGTGTATTAGCTGCACTGTATGAAATACCCAGATGGAGGTTATATTTATGATAAAGAAAGAAAAACAAAAGATCCACGAAGGTACTAAATGTTTTCTTTCCAATTGTCTTGTCCCTGATTTGTTAATATAAAGTTACAATAATGGGAACTGATAATAATTATACCCAAGAAGTGTGAAAACATAAGATTTCAAAAATTAAATTGTGTAGCTGTATTTAGGTTAAATTGGTAGGTGCATTGTTTGTACTTGTAATGGATAACCGGATGGAGGAGAAATTAAAATAAAATACTTGACACCATTATAAATGAATATTCATTTTTTTAACCTTGTAAATTATATAGAAAGGACGACGACGGTATTAAGTGATATCTTTCTAATTGACTTTATCTCTGAATCTGAATTTTTAATATAAAAATATAATATTGATACGAAATATACGCCTTGTAAAACAATAATACCTTCGAAACCATTTTGAATTCACAGTGAAGTCATATTTAGATTACGTTTGTAGGTATATGGGCTGAGCTGTATGGGCAAACCAAATAAAGGT